ATATTCTTACTTACCTATCTAATCTTACAGTTCTTAACCGATAATGCATGCAATCGTTGTATATTGCATGTTGRCATACAATTTAAAATAGATATATTTTGTTTATTTTTTCCTTAAAAAAAAAATTTTTTTTAGAAAATTGCTCCTGTGAGTTATACATATTATATATGTATAGGGGAGAGGTGGCCCCAGTGAGACACTAAAAATTACTTTTTAAATATTGTTTTTGTTTTAAGTGATAATCCTTCAACTTCATTATGGTTTTATTCTAAATATTATTGAGCATTAAAAACATATTAGGTACTTCATTCTAAAATTTAACGAAATTTCAACCCAGAGAAATGTTTTTTAAAAATGTCATAGTGTCTCACTGTGACCCAACCTTGTACACAAAGAGACACATCACGGGGCACTATGGTACATAATATAAAACCTTTTAAATTTGTAGTTTATCTTTTATATTTAAWCTTTTCATTTCACAACATTTATATAATATGATGATAAAAMAATTAAAGAGAATTTTTTTAACAAATTTTAAAATAATTAATTGTGTTTTTGTACAATTAAAAAAATATAGGTATTCACTTATAATATAATATAATATATTATATATATTATAATATAATGAAATTAACTAATTATAAAATCTAAAAAATATATACGAACACAGTTTTTTTATTGCTATTTTAAGTTATGAATTTGGACGAAATTAGATATGTACCATTTAGACGAAGAATAAATATCTCATAAATCTTTGTTGTAATTTAAAAATATACCAAATAAATAATTTAGACTGACTGACCGACCGTCTCTACTCCGAATCGTTTTTTGTAAACAATGATATTATATTATATCATTGAATTCAAAATTTAACATCATCGTAATTTATTACACTCTTAGTTATTACAGTACCTATCCATGTTTATTTCAATTTAATTTTTGATAATATTGGGAACACTGGAAACCCATCTTGTTCAGATGATTCAATTTAGCATAATATTTGATAAAGCTTTTCAAGGTTTGTAAGTTTTAGTATTTGCCATTAGGATAATGCACTTTTTTCATTAACTATTGCAATATCTGTTTATAATAATTTAGTTATATAATATGATATTATTGATATTAATATCATTTTGTCCCTACATTTATAATACATTTTCAAGTACTGTAAAATATAAATAATTGCTTTTATGATAGATACTTATTATTTACAGTAAATATACAATTATAGTTAAACCGTGTAATTTAATAGAATATGGAGCTCGTTCGAATGTAATCTATTGGTATGTCAATACAATTGTTCAAATAATATATAAATATCAATCAATAAATATCTTAAAAATTAATTTAATCTTTGAATAGGTGTTCATAATATTATGTTAGAAGTAAACTAAAATACATTTTTCGAAAACGTATTACCTATCTATAATCTTGTGATACATCTATCGGACTTTCATATTTCAGTGGTATAATAACAAATTTCTTTAGATAAATAGCTTGTAATTAATTCTCGGTATCGAAATAAAAAAAGAAAACGGTATTATTTTTTTTTTTGAAACTTTTAACTTGATTCTTAGATAGCTAGTAATTCCCAACCATATAATAATATGGTAGCCATAAGGCTTAACAAAGAATACAAAGATACGAAATAGTACGCTATAAAAATTTGTGTAATGTTTATGACGTAGGTATTTATATTGACGTGTAATATTGTATATGACATACCTATAGGTTAGACAAATTGCAGGAACATAAATTTTAAATAATTATAATTTACGTTAACGTAACAAGAGCAATAAAGTGGGCATAATTATTATACTGTTTTATATAATTGCATAGATACTTTAAAATTGTATGAATAACATGAGATTGAAAGTTAAGACGTAAAATATGAAAATGGATCAAAAAGCAGGATACCTACTATAACCAATTTAAAAATTCGGAAATAAAATTCACATCTATTTTTTCACACCGACACCTATGTAATATAGAAGTTTTAGTATTTAGAAGCTACTATGGGTGTATATATATATATATCCCACGGAGATCTGACAAATGAAGAAACTGAAGAAACTGAAATTTCTTTTAAATATAATTCATAGACACTTGCGCTACATTTTTAGAATACGTTTTTTATTTTTTATTTTTAATACTGAAAATAAAAAACTTAAAAGTTTATAAACATATTTTTCGAAATATTCAATATAGCCAATTTGTAAATCTGATTTTCAGAAAAATTTATATAGTAAAAATATTTATTTAAGTCAAATGGCCGATTTTTAAATTTTTTTTTAAATATCAATATTTTCGTTAAGTAAATTACGATCTAGTTTAATATGTTAGAAACATTTTAATTTCAAAAATTGAGTTTATTGATCAAATAATATTATTATAATAAAATAGTAGATACAATAAAAAATTAATTATATTTTATCATGAACCTATAAAATCTAATTAAAAACTATTGCACGCTTTACGACTGCACAGCGTACTTCTATAATGCTATACGGCCGGTTAATATTAAATACACGATGTCTTACGAGTCACGATTAAGTACCTACTAACAGTGTATATTACAGTGAAACCTCTATATAGTGGATAGCCATGGGAAATTAAAAAATGCCCACTATAGGGAGTTGTCTACTATTGAAAAAACTTCTACATAATAGACATTTGCGAGAAATTACTAAATGTCCACTATATAGAGACGCTATAAAGAGAATTAGTTATACTTTTATATATACATACGCTGAATTTGGTACATATTTATTTATTATTTATTATAATATACACACCAGCGGTTCACAACCTTTTTAGTTTGCAGACAACCAATAATGTAAAAAAAACATTAAGGCCCATTTACCTAATATACAGGTATTAAATTCAAACACACACAAATAAGACGATAGAAGAAATATAGACGTATATAAAATCGTATTAAAATCTCGGTGTTAATTCCAATTCAAATTTTCTGACCCTTGACATCGACCAGCGTCTGCGTCCTAGCATCATATTTCTCGAGGCTCACGACTGGGCTCCAGCCTATGGGTTAGGAATTGCTGATATACACAATTTGTATGTACAGTAGTCATTCGATAATTCAAAATTCAGGGGGCCCGAGTTAAAAATTCGATTTATAGAGGTTTTCGATTTACCGAGTGTTCGAATAATCGAGGGAAAAAAATTAATTCTAATTAAAGAGAGTTGAAAAATTGTATATATATTATAACGTTTATTTTGAGATTTATTTATTATACGTAATATTATATTTTAAAATTATTAATTTATATTTATTTATTATACATATTATTATTTTGGAGTAAACCGAGATCAGGGTACTCACTTTTTTTTCGTCTGATCCGCCATGAATAAGGTGTTAATGTTGTAAGATGATCCTTTTGTTTAAATATTGTTGAAAGCGTAGAAGCTGGGATAACAAAATGTAATCTCTTTTTTTATCACCTGCTTCAACTTCCGCGATCACATTTTTTTTGTCGGCTATCGACAAACACTTGTACTTTACGGTCTTTACGGGATCCATATTGCGACTGGCTACGTTTTATTCAATTTCAATAAAGGTTTACCCATTGCAGAGGTTTATTTTGGTAAAATGATATGATTAAAATGAAGATTAGGTAGATATAAGATACGATAACATTTATGAACTATGATAATATTTAACCACCGTCGTTATTAGTTTCATTATTATGAACACGTTAAATAGATAGTACATAATCTTTATACATATTATYATAGTCGTTTTTAGAGAATTTCGAATTATAGAAGTTCGTGGGAAAAAAATCGAATTGTAGAGTGTGCCTCGTCGATAGACCACAGATATTTCGAATTATCGAGKGAGCCGGAATACATGTATTTTTTTTAAATATAGAGGTTTTCTCAKGGRACTTAGCGTTTAGTTCGATTTATGGAGTTCTTCGAACTATCGAGGTTCGAATTATSGAGTGACTGCTGTACTATGTATTTAAAAGTGGGTTTTAAAATGTATAATGTTTATGTGCCTACATTTAAAAATATCTTTGATCTGTTTTGTGTACCTACATTTTTTTAGCTCTTTSCAATGATATGTACAATGTACATCTAGTGTGTCCATTTATGAGAGGCAATCCTTAATTTTGGTATCAATTTTTAGTGTCCACGTCCACTGTTAGGAGGGTCCACTGTTAAGAGGTTATAATTCCTATTATGTGCATACACTTTTGGCGGGGAATTTAAAAGTGTCCATTATTGGGAAATGTTCACTATTGAGAAGTATCCATGAATAGAGGTTTCAATGTATATCTATATAGACCTATAATAGACCTATGGTGTTAATAGCTAGATGGCAAGATGTTTCTATATTTCCTATTTGTTCTTATAATTTAATATATTTTCTTTAACCTATTAACTTATTTCCCAGTGAAAAAAAAAAAATGATAACATATTAGAAATATTTCGGTACTTAAAAAAAAATGATGGTGATTTGGAGTCAAGCCACCTGGTCCTAATATTAGATCTGTTGATGAGTTTTACTGGCGGATGTTCGCCGCCCAGGTTCCGTGTAAACTACTAACCATTGCAAAAACTTTTTTGGCAAATAATAAAAAAATAATAAAGAAAAAATACGTTGTCAGTCGCTCCCATCGTTTTGCGTCGATAAAAATATTGCTTTGACTTCGTTGCGCGGTCCCGGGAACGTGCCGATAGTAACGGCATCTGGCGGACAGTGTGAGTGTGTGACCGCCTCCTATTCGCAGATGTCATTCGCGTAGCACGCGCGCACTCGCATCACTACTAAAAACGTGTCGACCTCAGCCGAGCACTCACGAATATCCACTTCAGCACCTGCATACTGAGGACTGAGATCACCCTTGCACAAACCACACCACCGTTCGGCGGACGCCGACTACCACCAACCGCAACCGCGTTTCGAGACGAACAATTTCACCCCCATCGGGTCGGGTCGATCGCATCAACATTATACTATTACTATTATCATCATCATTACAATAGGTAATTTACATTAATATAATAATATCACAGATTACCCTTATGAAAATATTTTATATAATATCATATATTTATATTATAATCATGCTGTCATGCGCCTTATGGTATTGTTATCTCCTTGCATGGCGCAACTACGTGAACAATACACTATAATACATGTCCACAGAAGTTATTTCGTGTTGTACGACATTGTAATATTGTTGTGATTTTGTTTATATTTGTATTTCCTTAGCTCCGTTGTTTTGAGCGTTTACGCATAATATGTCCGTCCGAATGGTCGAATTTTGACGACGTACTATCGACTATGATTATAGTGTATAACAACAGACTAGTACAACCACTGCGAACAACGGAACGAAACGCAACCCGACGACAACGACCGTCATCGCTGCCACCGTCGTCGTAGCGGACCGGTCGGCGATCGTCACTCCACAGTCGTGACTCGTCAGTCAGTCGGTCGACGTCGGATGGTTATGYGCGTTTCGTTACCCGTAGTCCACGCTCAACACACTGCACGCGTTTTCGTTTGTACCACGACGACGAATAACTCTTCTTCTCACTCACTCGGATACAAACTCTCTCTACTCTTTTCTTATCGCTTATCCTCACTTTTTTTTTGCTACGGTCCATTCTTGTATCCCGACCATACGTGTCTTTCCATTCTGTTAACAAACATATCATCGTCTTGTCGAATCGATTGTATTTTTTTTCCTATAAGTGCTGACTGTATAATGTTATAGTGACAAAGTTTGTTTTTAAATTATTTAAATACATATTTTGGTTTTTATTAATTACTTACTTATATCTGATATCTACGTATTTATCTACTAATCATCATCGGATTCAACAAATTTCGCGTCGGGGTACGTAACCGATACAATACCTAACAAAATACAATATAAAACAATATAAATATTATTAAGCTGTTCCATTCGTGGATGTTTGCTTTTTTTAATCACAATATTACCATTTACCGTCTCCTACCGATAATGAAACCAGATGTCATTGTGGCTAAATCATATAACTATAGGTACCGTTCCATGCCAATTACTTCGTACTAAAACATATTCCATTATTTTTTATAGTTTACCAACGCCATTCTATAAAATTATTTGTGGAAAGAGGTGTTTGGGTGGTTGTTCTAAAAAAAGGTTAGGCTCCCCATGAATAAAGTGTTCCCTTATCGACGTTAATCGTGGATCTTTTCTCGAGTTAAAATTTTGATTTTTTTTCATTGAAATGATGTAGAATTTTCTCAAACATCAACATCATTCATATCTATCTATTTTTTTTAAAATGTTTATTCAAATAACTCAACATCTATAATTTGCGGCATATGTCACGATTGAACCAGATTTTACAAATGCATTTATATATTACATAACATTCATCGCTTTGCACTTAAAACAATATTATGTTGTTATAATCAATAAAAAACAAAATAATATGGAAAAAACGAAAGGAAAAGCGTTTTTAAATATTTTGCTACAGAAGACTGTGATAAACGTATTAGTTATTGTTTTAATTTTGTACGTCTATTTTGAGGACATACGTATGGATGTAGGTCCAGTGATCCAGTGGTGTAACTGGATAAAAAACAGGGAATAAAATAATCTACTAACCAAAATCAAAACCTTGAGCCTTCCATCAGTTAAAACATATTATTATTTAATTTATATCTAACTGTTTGTTTTTCAAGTCTCTTAAGAGTCTTAAGACTTATGTTATGGTTTATAAACAAATTGTAGGTTTGTATAGTAATATATTATTAATTAAATAATCATTATGAGTTCATTAATAAAAAACTTGGCATATCTGATAATTTATTATTAAAAAATAAATTATACTTTTGCTCCTCCCCCCCCCCCCCATGAAATTACACTATTGTGTAGACTGTATAGACAGTGTAGACCTATGGTAACATGTTAAAAGCGGCGAAAGACACAAGCGCCAAAATGTGATAAGAAAAAAATAAGACGTATCGTACATAAGCGCCAAAATCCTATAGAGGCACGACCTGTGTGCCACGGTTAATATATATTAAATTTAGAACTAACCGATTTATTAAATTTATATTTATTTGCATGTTTATTATAATTTAACGATTAATTATTATTGAACATTTTTTATAGGAACAATTTTTAAATAACTACCTATTCATAAAATATTAATTTTGGCGTAGGTAAATGATATCTTCTTTGGCGCTTATGTAATATTATGTTGGGTATAACAGGTATACAATATTAGATTGGCGCTTAAGTCCTACACATTTTGGAAAAAATGATAGGTTATTTTTGTTCTTTTGATGCTTATGTCATATAGTCGTCAAAAGATATGTGTACTGTAAAAGAAAATTTTTCATCTTCAATTTGTCGCATTCCAATTATTATGTCCTACCTGTGACGTGTTTACGATGTTCCATATGTGATGTTCTGACGAATTCCCATAATGCCTATTAATTATCCAATAATTGTTTTATTGTAATTAAGTTCAAGGCAGTGAATTATTTTATTTTAAAATGTAAACGTACGTTTATTTATTGATCGGATTTGTAAATTACACATATTTAAKTTCTTCAGTGTTCTAAAAGTAAAAATCTTATCTCATTGAAACCCTAAGGATGTACCTTGATAAATTTATATTCACAAAACTTTTAAAGAACTCTTTCTGTATGACATACTTACATGTACTTGTATTATTGATATTATTGTCTAGTTAATATAATCCTGAGTTGCTGAGTTAATTTCTCAGAATAGTCAGAATCTAAAACGTTGTATTCTTAATTTTTATTGGTAAATGAATATGAAAAGGTTATTGGATTTTAAATGATATGTTTTTTCTTTATGATCACATATTTGGGTCGAATGGTGATTGAATTTTGTCCAAAGTTGAACTCAAAATAACTATATATGTATATATATTATAAACTGATTATAATATATTTTAGATTTTTTGATTACAGTATGAACTACATACACGGAACCTGCTTTAAATTTTCAACCCTTATACCTATAAAAATTGAATATATAATATATATTAACTGAAAAATAATTTGTACATTTTGAATTTGATTAATTCTTTTCTAAATTTGAACTTTTAACATTGACAAAAAAAAAAATTGTATCATTGTATTTTCAATATTTTTTAACTGATATTGTAAAAATATATCAGAATATTGTATAGGAGCCTTGCATCAAAATTTCAAGTTTTTTTTGTTTTTCCCAGCGCTTTTGAAAGTTTCTAGGAATTTTAAATTTTGACCACTAATGCACCAACTAGACACTTCTTCCGGAAAAGATACTGAAGTTGAAAATCTGAACATTATTTTGACTTTTTATCGTCTACACAGACAAAAAAAAAATTACATACATCATCGACAAATCAATACATTCATCACTCCGCTCAGAATCTAAAATTAATTATTTCGCTTCATTATTCACCACCTATTACTACCTACATTTTTTAAGTTCTAATAAAAGAAATTAACAGCTCCTTGAGCTCATGAGAATTTAATCTTAAAAATATTTTTATGTGTTTGATGTCATTGTTCATGTGATATACGCATAATGCAGTGTAACTTATTTATGTTAACGTGTAATAAATACTGAGATTGTTCGATTATTTCCTGTTATACAATACATATGACGTTATATTTATAAGTATATATGCCTCCACATTCCGGACGTCTAATGCATTTTCACGCCAAATCTTTTCTGTCTAGAGTAATTATTTATTTCGGTGAATATGTGATATACCAACGTTTGCAACGGACATTATACGGCCATAACTAGTGGCATGCAATTAGGAGGGAGGAGGCTTAAAATTTAATTATTACATTTTTATTTTGTCTAGTCCAACAATTCAGACTATTTTTTGCTAATATAGATACTACTACCATTTATGTTTCAATGATTTGTTTTAGGTAGGTATTCAAATATTAATTTCATAATTAGAACATTAAAATAAACGCCGTGCCATAATTAAATAGCCTGTTTCAATAAAGTATTTTTAATTAAGTATGTTCTAAAGACTTTGAATTAAGGTTTGATCATTGATTTTATGTAGTGGTCATCGTGAAGGATCCGATGACTAATATACAAGGAGTTAATGTTCTATTGGACGTTGATTGGAAGAATTGAATTATTTTTATGTTTGAATTTTTGGATGCTCCTAAAAATTGGATTCCATAAGAGTCCAAATGGAGGATGAGTTGTTTGTACATAGTTTGGAGTTTAGTAAAAGATGTAATTGATGAAGTCTATGATTTAAAGATTATAAATGGTATAGTGATAAGTATRGCAATAATATGGCATAATTACCACATGTCTTTGGGAAACGATAAAAGGTACTAAGAAAGATATTATTTTCTTCGGTCTTCCGTTATCAGAAATTATCATAGTTTCCAAAATTTCAAAATTTCCASTAATATAGGTACAGTACATAGGTAATAGGTATACATTATACATACACAAAAAACCACCAGATCAACTCCGMACAGAATCTAAAATCACATAAAAATAGAATGGTATATTTGTTTATATCCTTGAAAGAATTTATGTAATTTATGACTCTAAATTAAATTGAAATTAATGTGAAGGTTAGGTTGAGTATACCTATAATACAATTTAAATTTTAATTGTAYTAACATTTGGAAAACATTTTTTTAAATAATTATTATGAGTATTTCGACAGTACTAACCTAGTTGAACCAACTATACTACGTAGGTGTCTATATACAGAAAATTATTGTACTATCAAACTATCTCTTAGTGTTAGTAGCTAAAACATGTATATACCTAAAGGTTCTTAAAATGGTGTAATCGTATTACATTTTTATAAATTAGAAGTAATTATTCTTAAAATACGAGTATARTATAAAGTGGTAAGTTGTGACATAATACATTTTTGTGACGCTATAATAAGTCTCAACAATGCYACATTGTAACACTGGTATTTTGCAAAGTAATGAGTAAAGCACGTTGATCAACACGTTACTGTGTAAATAAAAAACTGCAATTATTTGTATTTTAATATATCTAGTATAAAAACGGTTCGTAGTGATAAATAATATTTCATTAATTATAATGTAATAGATCACTGTATGTTACGCGATGAATTACGATTTCTCTTATTAAATGTCTTAAAACGAAAATATTAGCGATAAAATTTAATTATAATTCATGTTATGTATTTATTTTACAGTGARGTACTTAATTACACCAGAACGGCACTCGCACTCTCAGGATTACCGGAAGGGACGCCGGTACAACGATCAATGAGCTCGACCTATCGGCCAGCGAGGATTGGACGAACTCCCAGAAAAAAGATTCCTCAACGAATACGAATTCAATTTTTTTTACCGTTTGGTAAAATTGAGTACCAATTACAAGATTAATAAAGGATACGTTATTATTTTTCAACATGAGTGCAAACGAAAAGAGACACAGGGCCGAACCCAGCTCATCGATGGATCATGCGAATATTACTGTGAGTGTTGAAACTATTAATCTTGTATGAATTAAAAAAAGGTTATCGTATATACGTATTTAAATGTGATAAACTTGAAAATTATTAGTATTATTATATTTTATTATTTTACTACAACGTGGTAGARAATGTCTTTATAATATACCTGATATAATATGTATATGTTATTATTTGTATAATATGTATATTTTTTGGTAGCCTTTGTTCATAATTTTCGTGGCTTTTTCTAAGTAATAACTAATAGTAATAAAAATCTGTATACATAAACATGCCTATTTTTAATAAGTACCCCTCTAAATAATATAAAAAACAATTTTGAAAGCCACATAATAGCCCTATTATAGGTGCATATAATTTATTTAAAATACATAATAATATATATTATATATACGTAAGTACAAGAACAGAATATACAGAGATATGATATTTGCTTAAAAAAAAAAAAAATAATGTTAAATATTAGCTTATATAGTTTATTCACTTATAAAGATTAAGGATTAATGATAAAAAAAAAAAGTTGGGTATGAATCGAAATTGAATTCAGAATTTGAATGAAAGGGTATTATAGATACTACATAGGCATCGGTTGTGTAGAATATTTTGTTGACTAATCAGTATAATAGATTATGYAATTTTCAGCATTAATTGTTACATGTCATAATTTTATGTGATTCAATAAAATAGAAACATAATACTATAGATACCGACAAATATGTCTTTAAAAAAAATAGTAATAATTAAGAAAAAATGCGGCTCGTTCTTAAGGAGTTATATTATAACCTTAAACTCTAAAACGTAGCTAATATTTGCTTAAGTAGACAAATTAAAACTTTGCTTAATTATTGAAACAATTATTTTTATTCCTTTAATTTAACTGGGAAGCTCTAAATTAATTCTAATTGGGTATCACGCGACTATTAGGCAATATATAAAGAATTTTACATCAAAAAAATGTTTATTAGTCAGGGCGTAAATTATCAAATAATAAGCGAATATGTTTTGTATAAAAGATAAAATGCGCGTTATTGTTAAAATATATTTTAGCTACAAATTATAAATTAAAATTGTATTTAATAGCACATAGATATAATACTAAAATAAATATTATATATTTTACTCGAAAAGTTTAAACTTAAAAGGATGAAAATACWTGTTTGTTTGAAATGCTCGGTGTTTGTTTGTAAGTATAAGTTGTACAAAATATTCGCTCAAATTTGGAGAGTAGGTACTAAGTAATAGTATTTGTACTAAATATGTTTGTTATTTTTATATTTTTGCCTTGATATTATAAAATTATGTTATTTGCCTTACACATGAGAATATAGTATAAACATAAGCATAAAGTCATTTGGGTGGATGAACAGGATCGTGATCCATTCGCATTCAGTCCCCAATCATTAAGGGAATCCAATAAATTTTTTTCGTCTTGGATGCTTCCGCATTGAAATATTTCTATATACCTATATATATATGTATTCACAGACTCGCCGTATGTAGTTTCTGGTACCAACTTTGACTCGAAATATTCTCATAGATTWTAGAGTTAAACACGTATGATAAATAATTGAAGGAAATGAATGTGGATCTTATRATATTTTTTCTCGAAATCTATTTGTAAAAATATTTTCTTAGTTTAAAATTACTTACCGAACAAAATAATTAGAACCTTGTAAGATTGWTATTGCTATATACGGTTAGGTTAGGTTACCCTACTATGTGTATGAAACACAATTGATGTTTTCAAGGAAAAACGTCTAGTGTACGGTAGGTACTGTATGATATAAATATAAATTATATACATGACATACATTTTAAATTTATTTGGTTTACAATATTTTTTGTTTAAAGAATTTGTGTAAAGAAACAATGTTTCTGCTAAAACATATTTTGTTATTTATAATTAATACCTTATTTGGTTTTAGATGTATTAACAAGCCCATTTAACATAAATCATTATTTAACTTTACAGAATTTTTATGTTTCTAATATGTGTTATTCGTAAAACAGTTATAGGAAATTAATTGAGTAATATGACCTATTAATTAACTGCAATTATTTATTGCATACAAATAAGTCTCTTTTTGAAGTTTTTAGGCATACGAACATTTCAAATTCAATTAGTTTTTTTTTTAAATTACAAACGATAACAATTTTTGCTTCATTGAAAAACTTGAAAAACTTGAATAGAAAGTTCTTTATAAATTGTTGTTTGTGAAAATTAAAAAAGTTGAGCGTAAAACTTCTTTACGGGGTCACCATTTAAAATTTTTTTTTCTGAATAAAGTATTTAATATTTAAATATTTATCCTTGGTTTTTCGAAATGTTATAAGAATTTGGAAAATTTTAGACTTAAAAGTATTTAATGTACTTATTGCATTTTTTATGAGCGTCTGAAATCAGAATTTCGACAAAWTTTTTTTTTAATTTGGGTAACTGCAACGTGAGTGCTGTTAAGTATGTTAAATTTATAATATTTTAATATCTACATGAGCAGCTCAATAAATATAAAGAGTAGGCAGCTACTTAAACTATTATATATATATATATATATAAACTTAACAGTTGACACTAATATTAATATATAATTTACCTAATATATTAGTATCAGTTTTCAAACAAAACAAGAAAAATAAAATTTGAATCAGCAAATTATTCCTGTCTCCCATTGAATTGTTGTTTGGGATGGCCCTATTAACAATAATATGTTTCTAAATTTAATCAAAGGAATAAAATTGTTCCATTAAATGATGAAAGAAAATTATACAACTGTTTACATGTATATACACATTTTACTATGTATATATTATACTACCTACATAGTACATATAACTTAAATATTTTTGATTCGATCTCTTCGTAGAAGGTACTTATAACTATTCATATTCTATGAAGCATATTATGACGTCCAACAAAAAGTAAAGTTGATAAATGAAATATGTCTCTAGTACTCATGACATAATAAATAATTATAGTTATATACAGGTACTAAAAAAAATAAGAAATTGATCTCAAGGACAAGCTTGTTTTATATACAAAAAAAGTAAAACTGTTATGCGAATGTATAGTCCAAAAACCGAACAACATCCAAGCGTAAATTACTCGTTTTATTGCTTCTCACATATCGCCGTAACTGGTAGGATATTGGTTATATTGAGATGAAAAAAAATAAACTTAAAAATTGCAATGATAAATCAGTAATCGACAATCGTGACATTTGAAAAAATATTCTTAAAATTGTAGTGTTTGCAGATATTTCTTAAAAATTATTGTTGTCAGTAGGTAGCTTTTTATGATTCGAAAAATAATTAATAGTATCGACAAATTAATTTTTTTAAGTATCATCTGTTTAGGTATTATGCATAATAAAAAAAAACCATGAAATTTATTTAATAATAATTTATTCCTCGCTTTATGCAGGATCTAATATATAATTCATAAGTTATTTTAAACAGCTATAGGTATCACAAATAAAAGAAATTATTGTTTACAATTTACTACCATTATTATAGAATATTATATCGAAAACGTTATAGGTSTTCAATATATTCGTAACATATTGTATACTATTGAATTTGAAGGTCGATTTCTAGGATACTTGTTTGTTCAATTGTATTAAAGTTAAAATGAACATTTTCCTATAATATTTAACGTAACCATATGTATATTCTATATAATCTATACACGGTACACATAGCGTAGCACATATAATTATATAGTTTATAATGTATTATGTTTTAAACTACCAGTATTAATATGTATTAATAATTTATTACCAACTARACATCAATTCTATAAAGTATTGATGTGTTAATGTTAATTTTATTATTTTTATGATTTTAAGTTGGATATTATTTAATAATTACCAACTATATACCAAYTTAGTGCATATTATTAAAAACTCGTATAATAGCATATTATTTTATGTTTTAATACTTCAAGGAAGTATATAAATTGTTGTTACATGAACATGATTTATAATATCATCATAATTATTAGTCAAGTTCTGTATAGTTCTCAGTTAAGTTCAATTAACCTATTTTTTTAGAATAATATTTTATTTGCAGTAAATTATAATGTAGATAGATTATATAATCACTATATTAATTTTTTATAGTGTGGTATAGTTAAATTTGTCGATGATTTGATTCATTTTATGGTGAAATATATTTTTTTCGATTTTAATTTCTTTCTTTAAATAATCCTGATTAGGAAATTAGGAATCCATTCTAATTAAAAACATGTAAAAGTAGTTCTACGGTATAGTTGTAGGTATTGAATGTTCTCGTCATTAAGTTGATAATCAAGTAAACCTTAGGAGAATTGATGGGTGAGTGGGTGACTGGTTGTATAAGTAATGGTCTAATTTCTAAATTTCTTATCTTAAAAAACATGGCAGAACCGTATAAACACAAACAACAGTAAGATTATTATCAGTTATCACTTATCAGTATTTAGTTTATCCAACTGGTGGGGTAGGTGGGTAACTTGAAATTTATATTTTCGATAACCTTGTAACAAATGTACTGCGCGCCACTGAATTGATCACTGTAATAGAAATGTTAAATTTGAATTCAATGATAAATAATTTTCTATAAAAACTATTTAGAGTAAAGATAATAATTATGATATAATTTGCTATTATAAACATACAAAAGTCAATATTTGTGTACCGTAGAACGTTATGAATAGGTTTGTGGTATAAATGGCTTGAAATTAATTTAAATATTTTGAAAATATTGTGTATGTTAAATGATAATAATATAATTTATGTAATAGGCACAATTTTCAGATAATTAAAAATAATACTTTGTGAGTTATAAACGTTATACTTATAATGTAATCTAATTTAAACTATTTAAATATTCAATASGTTTTTCTTTGTTTTTCCAGATTATTAAGTAAAATACGTTAAGTATTAAATAGTTCCAATTTCTTACCAGAAACCACCCTCAAAGTTGATGTTYAAACTATTTTTTATAYCATGAAATAAAAACAAACA